AACTATTCAAATAAAACACGAAATTAAAAATGTTTATTAAAAATAAAAAACATAAAATAAAATATAATGTACACAAGTACTTTAAAAAATATCTCTTAATGATCCTGAAACTGCAACTGTTTTCTAAACAACTGCCGCTTTGATGACAAGACCGAGAATCTTTTTTTAAATAAATAAATGGTATTCGATTTTTAAAACCAAGGAGTTTTCAATTAAAAAGATTTTAATATGACAGGATCAGTGGAAATATTCCATATCCGATACTTTTAGTGCAGCCTATTTATAATATACAATATATAATAACATTATTTCGACAAAATCCTTTGTCTAGTTATATCGAAAATTTCGATATAATTAGACAAAGGATTTGTCATGGTATAATGTAGCCCGGGTGAATATTCAGTTTATTCACTGTAAAAAATCCTATTTTAAAAATTCTATTTTTTCATGCTCATTCACCACAGACAGGGTGGATATATTATTTTCCTTCTGATTTTTCCCTCGGTTGTGTAGAGTTATTTAGAGAAACGTGATAAAAACTGGCTCAAGATACTTAGTAGACATAAGCATACCTATAAAAATATGTATATACAGTGAAACCTTAAGGGACCTGCAAATTAGTTTCACTTAAAGAGGTATTCCACTTACCCAGTGTCTCAGATATCCAGGTATAAATAAATATCCGTCTCATTTACAGAGGGTTCCATTAATAGAGTAGAAAATAGAGGTTATTTCAGTTATAGATAAAATAACATATTTTGTAAATATAATATATAAACATCCGGACGATTTCAAAACCAAACTAAAACTGGAGGTCACTTTTACACAATTAACCAAGTGCGGAATTTGCGGGTAGAATAAGATTAGTAAACAAAACGGTACACAATATATGGTCTCAGTAAAAGAGGTAAAATATACTCAACTATATAGGTAACTAAAACGATAAAATCGAAAGAACTAATGTCAGATATGGAGGTTTGTTTTGTCCCAATAAGAGAGGTAATTCAGTGCTAAAGTCTCAGTACCTAATCATGAGTTCCAGCTATGGGGGTTTCTTACTTATCGAGGTCCCACTTAACCAAGTTTTACTGTACATATTTTTGTATGAAAGTTCAACGCTGAAATAAAAGGAGTACCTCACAGGATTCATAGGATTCATAGGATTTTTGGCATAAAACAATTTTTTTTTATAGGATAAGGGTGAGAAACGAGCACACAGGCCACCTGATGGTAAGTGGTTGTTGTGGCCCATAGACATCTACGTCTATCTTCGATTAAGAATCAAAATGCTGATGCGTTGTCACCCGTGAGGACTAAAATGGAATGCCTCGTTTCCAGTAAAAAGGGTCTCCAGTTCTCTACACTCACCATACGAAACACAGCAGCGTTAAGCTGCTATTTTACGCTGGTATTCTGTGAGAGCGTGGTCCTTCCCCGGTCGAGCCGACCCATTCGTGCTACAACCATAATATAGCTGCAGCATGGCTCTACCACGTATAAAAGTTAATTTAAAAGTTAAACAAGTTAAAGACACACATCCAAAAGAAACGTTTATGGAATGCTAGTAAAATAACTTTTTTCGCTAACACATCTGTTGCAGCAAAGAGATTGAGAAAAACGATAGATTAATGATAGGTCATCGCGCGCTTTGTCTCTTGACTCTTTTTAAATAATTTGTGAATATTAGTCAGACATTTAAATATAAAAATTAAACTGATAAAAATGAGGCCTTATCATTTATATGTCATTTATTCAGAAGAAAAACCTATACATAATATACACAAATATATTGATACATTCACAATTAATAAATTATTAATTTTTAAGTATTTCTGGTCTACATTCATAACTATGAACTTAACTACTAAGCCATAGCATAAAATAATTTTTCCCGTTAATCGGGTAATAGTTAAGCTGCTGGCATATACAATGTTTCACGCACACTAGCATCCTTGCAATTGTCTTATACACACTAGAATATTGAGTTGCCGTATTCACGGAGCTGTACATTCACGTAGTGCGGTATCTAGCCTGAGCGCGCGAAGACATATCATTAATCTAAGAGAAAAACATTGCAAATGTACATTAAAAGTGACGTATTTATCTAGGATATCAAATTACGTCTACCCCATAATGAAATTAGTATTGGTGATTTCCTGGACATATTTCAGAATTTATAAATTATGTAATAATGTTACTTAAAACAAGGAAGATTAATTTGATTTAAATGCAATACGTAATGCATGGACTTTAATAGGCTGTAACGGTAACGGTAAAGGCGATACGTAATAATTATGATTTTTGTTTTAGTTTGTGTTTATAAAAAAATAATTAAGAATTAAAGTGTATGAGTTGAACTGTACTTGGGGTAAAAAGTTGAAAGAACAGATAAACATATAAAAATGAATTCCGATTAAGAACACGCGATTCCGAGTATCCACCCTAGGCTGATTTTTTAGAGTGGATAAACGCAATAACCCAGCCTTTGCCCGTGTCGCATTATACCTAAGTACGCTACTAAAACGATATAACAGTTTTCATTTGTTTATATTATAAGCAAACCGTCAAAATTACTTCATATATAATTTCCACGCCAAATATGGACTAACAATTATTGCTTTTTTTTTCTAAAAGATTTTTAAATTGTCACATCATGCCAGGATATTTCATTTGTAAGTATTATTTCATGACATCGAAAATGTACACAAAGGCATAACAAATTATTTCTTAGAAGAACAAGTGCTAACAGAATTAATCAAATTAAACATATTAGTGACCCAGTTTTTTATGGACAAAGACGGTACTATTTAAAATAAAAACTCTGAGGCTCAGGCATCGGTATTTTCGCCATTCACCTTATGTGAACTTTAAAACATTATAATATTTAATACATTTAGATTATAAACCGTCTAACAGAAGTGAAACAGTTGGCACGCTTGGCATGCAGGTTGGGTATTTCAGTTTTAATAATTTTTAGCTACTTTCAGGAAGATACTTGCTGCTTATCTCATATATCCATTTGTCGCCTTTTACGACACGCAAGGCTGATAGAAAGGGAACGAAGGGCTCTATCGTAAGTATGTTGGGTGCAAAAGTGTAAACTGACGGCTCCACCGCTGCAGCGTGTCGGATAAATATTTAATAAATCCAGCGATTTTACGTAAGAGTTGTGCATCCTTGGTGCGCGGTGCCAGCATCAACAACATTCTGAAATTAATAGGGAACAAAGAAAATCACCCACCTTTATTCTTCACTGCTGTAAAAGCATATGCCCAGTAGTTAATGCATAGTTAAATTTACATAATATTATTTTTATTCGTTTAAATGCTACTAGCACCTCTACTAAAAATATTATGAGTCTATGTGACTTGAAATTTAATGATAAATGATAATAATAATAATAAAAACTTTGGCATACTCAGATGGACTCAAACTGAACTTATCGTCCTGGATAGAAAAGTCCGCAATACCATGACAACTCCCAGGGTGTACCACCTAGGTCGTCTGTAATGAGGCGGTACTTACGGCGTGGCTTTTTAAGCGCACACACCATGTATAATCGCGAAGTATGCAGTCTTCGTAATTACTTCCTGATGAGATCGGATCATCCATTCTATGAGGACCTCATTTCTTGTGATAAAGAAAAATTTACTCCTCTATCCTTAACCAACGAGCAATGGCAAGACCTGGCAGTACAAAGCATTTCCGACCGTGAGACCGTATGGAAGGAGAAGGAGCTCCATGGGAGGTTTTACAAGGCTCTATAAGAGACTTTCGTGGATACATTCGCCTCCCTTTCCTGGCTACGGTTCGGTGACCTCTTTAGGGAAACCGAGGCTTTTGTCTGTGCGATACAGGATCAGGTCATTAAGACCTACAACTATCGGAGATATATCCTAAATGATGGTGCCGTCGACATCTGTCAAGCTTGTCGCCATCCCGGTGAGTCACTTAGGCATGTCATCTCCGGTTGTTCAGCTCTTTCCAACTCTGAGTATTTGCACATACACAGTTTAGTAGCCAGGATTCTATACCAGGAACTCGCTCTGAAATACGGTGTCGTGGATCGGGAACTGCCTTATTATGAGTACTTGCCGGAACCGGGACCGGGCGATCATCACAGACTATTCTTGCGAATAAGGCTGATATTGTGCTGATGGACCGGGTACAGTCAAGGATATTTTTGGTCGACATTACCATTCCGTATGATGAGAACCTCGTGAATGCCGAAACAGATAAGAAAACAAAATATCTGGATCTGACTCACGAGGTGACCGACATATGGGTTGGTCTGCCGACCTAAATTATTCTTGTAGTCGTCTCTGCGTACGGGCTAATCCCGGTCAGCCTCTCGGATCATCTGAGGCGACTGGGACTCCGTGACTGAACGCTCCAGGCTCAAATGCAGAAGGCGGTGCTCCTCGATACCGCCCGCATCGACCACCGGTTTAATTCTGCCGAGGGCTTCCATCTGGTAGGGCTTTTATTTCTTTATGTATTATTTGTATATTTAATATATATTTATGTATATTTATCATTTACTCTTATATATCTATTCAGCCCAACCAGATGAGAATACTGTATACATATATACATAAATAATAAAAACGGTGCGTAAAAGCGAGCGGTGTATGTTAGAATATCACGAAGAATTCACACGGTTCGGTTTTTTGTACAACACGCTGCGCGCAAGTGTATCATAAAACCGACACACAAAACTTTTAAATGCCTTTATAAGCCTTTATATTTATGAACGTATACGGCTAAACTATGTTAGAAACCCGAATTAAGCAAACCGTTACAATGTGAATCCGCATCATTATAAAACTCAATAAGATAAACCAAAGGGAAATACAGAAGCTGTTTAGGTACAAATACAATTCATGTTGCTAGAATCACCACAATCTGTGAAATTATGTTTGTGTAAGTCTTGTAATCTGTTCTTTGGCTTTATCAATCATCTAATAAGTCGATTGTAACTTCCTTTTTTTACGTTTCAGTTGGCCAACAGCGCTCCGAAGCTCACACAACGCAATAACATATCTCAACCGGCACTCGCTGAATTCGACGCACGTCGTCGTGACTCCATACCTGAAGAGGCGGAAGAAGATCGCCTGGCTGCCGCGGCAAAGTTGCCAGCAAAGACCAAAAGTGACCACTTGCCTCCTCCACCGACCTACGACGAAGCTACCAAAGAACATAGAAAAAGTTGGCATTCTGATGATAGTACCCCTACGTAGTATATTTAGTCATATTATGGGCATTGTTTAGGCTGTTGTCATAAAAATGGTTATATTTTTTATATTCTAATCTTATTTAAACATAAAATGTTAAAGAAATTGAAGTGTAACGCGATTCTAGATTTGTGACGTGAAAAATACGAAAAAATAAAAAAAAAAATATTTTTACGTTAGCAAAGTAAAATTAGCTTCAGAAATTTTCAATGTACAAATTTTTATGGTAACGATTTTGTTATGTAATACATAACCTATTAATAAATATATCTTAAAACAGATTATAATTATGTTAATATATTTTACTAAGTCTATAAATGTTTTCTCAATAAAATAATGTACCATATATACGTATTTTAAGACTTGCAATATTATTATTTATATATTTTGTATCAGATTTTTGAAAGGTACTCTTATCATGTTTGTCTAATAATTAAATGTACATTTCTTAACAAAGTAGACACGCTTTTACAATAACTTGACTTTACAAATAATATAGACATTGTTTCATTGATAAAAAAAAATTTAAAAGATATTTGATTTTTATTTCATGACCAGCTTTTCACCCCCGTCCATGTACACTGATAACAGTCACGACACACGCTTACTATGAGATCGCATAATACGGAGAGCTCAAGCTATCACATGGAAACTTTCTCATACTTCGAAGTGATAATGATCGCAAATTTTATGTTAGACCACAGAATAGATAATAGTACAAGTAGTTAGACTAAGACCTTTCGAATAGTGAAAAACATTCTAAGTCTCTCCCTTCGTACACGTACGTCGAAAAAAATATAATTCCGTGCGATTTTGTACCAGAATCTTTAAATCCTATGGTGGTTAAAAATAGATTAACAAGCCACCGGTCAACGTAATATCCTTTTTAATTTATTTAGAAAATTTGCAGCACAATGCTGCAATGTTTTGTATGGTGAGCGTTGAAACCTGGAGATCCTATTTAATGACAATTAGGTATTCTATTTTAGTACAAATTATCTGCATCAGTTTGATTTTTAATCGAGCGATCACAGTCGCAATTATAAATTATGCATTTAAAGTTCATTTCATTTTGCATTTAAAGAATATAATGTATACAAAAGTGTCCTATACTTTTAGTGAGCAAATCTTCTATAATATAATGTGTCACTGATTTCGCGAAAACGGCTCTTACGATTTTGATTAAATGTTGTATTTTTCTAACACCGAAAAATGCTCAGTAGCCTAGATACTGTTTTATAATATAACGATTTTTTTTTAAATTAATTAATAAAATACTAAGAACTAATAAAATCAAAAAAATATTTAAGGCGATTGGTTGTATCTACTAAATTCTAATTTTCATAACATTATGGTCAAAAAGTAGCTTGAAGCCTATAAAATATATATAAAAGGTTGTTACCGCTGATGACTAAGATGGAATGCTTTATAGCGTATAACGGTACTGCCTATTTATATCCTAATAACAGTAGACGCATAGTAAAATAGGTATTAGGATGGTACTTTACTACAGTCTAGTTGTGGTTTACTAGACTTTGACCCTGCGAAGGACCCAGACGGAAAAGGTGCCCTGCAACTAAATCATTGGTAGTAGTCCAACCTGAACCTGAAATAATAAAAAGTCAGGAACTTTAAAAATACTATATTTAATTCTCTTTGTAACAATTGTAACTGTATTTTAACATTAATTTGAATAATCTCTAAATAATACAATTTTTGGTAGAGAAAAACGACATATCCTCCTATTATATAATAATATTCGTTTTTTGTTTATTTATCTTTTATAACATAATTAGGCGCTGTATTATTTTATCTTATCAAATAATTTAATAATAATATAGCTAAGAAAATATTATTTTTCGTAAGGCACTACTGACGTAGAAATAGAAATATTTTTACATAAATTGCTAAGCTATTGACTGTCTTCAATTATACAGTTGGTCTGATCTGTTTTTAAGAAATGAGATTGATCGATTCTGTTATCTTTTATAGCTTCATACGCTTTCTTTAGAACGCTCGCTGGTGGGTTTCTTTGCCTCGTAAGTATCCATGCGTTTCCTAAAAACAGAACAATATCATGAGTGGGAGATTGAGGAGGCTATGTGTATAATGATGTACTTTTATTAATTCCCGGAAATTTATCATCAAAATTCATCATCATAGTCTTGTTACAAAACAAGGGCGTTTTTTTATAGCTAGAATAAGGGTGACAAACGAGCACACAGTCCACCTGATAGTAAGTGGATGCTGTGGCCCATAGACATCTATATATCTATCTATCTTATAAGAATCAAAATCAAAATGTAGATGCGTTGTCACCCTTAAGGACTAAGAGTGAATGCCTCACATCCAGTAATAAGGGTCTCCGGTTTTCTACGCTTTCCATACGAAACACAGCAGCATTAATCTGCTATTTTATGTGGTCCTGACCCGTTCGAACCGACCCATTCGTTCCACAACCATATTATCATAGCTGCAGTACCCATTGAGTCCCTGCATGTCATACAAGATAGTCACTCCATCTAGTGGCCCTACACTTCGCTTAACAGTACGAGGCTGCCACTCAAGAACTTTTTTCCCCATTGGGTGTTGGATCTTAGAACTATATTATGGCCGGTCCATTGTCACTTCAGCTTACAGATACGTTAGGCTATGTCGGTTATGGTTATTTAAAAAAAAACAACTGAAGTGTCAAACGAGCTGATAGTTTCTGATGGTAAGTGGTTACTGCCATCCACGGACGGCTGCAAGCAACCTCAAATATAATAGGCCCAAGGGCTACACAGCCGCACCTTATTTTTATATTTATTGAACGAAAACGGACCGAGGTCATGGATTCACTCGGTATGTAAAAAAAAGTGTTATAAAATAAAGAATAATTATGTGTAAATTATACAAACGTCCATGAATGACATTTCCAAATCCACTACAGCCCCACACGATGGCAAAGTTGTCGTAGTCCGTGTCGATGACCCAATATGGCGCCGGGATGTTGACCGGCATGTTCGGAAAGGTCACCAAGAGTTTAGCCTCCCCCGTATCACTATCAATAGTAGCGTAACCTTCGATGCTGGTCCATTTTCCAGTGCTGAAATAAATTAACGTAAGGTTACGTAATACGTACCATTGATACATGAATTGCCTTTATTGCGTAGTGGCAGTAGTGGTTACGGGCTGCAGGTTCGATTTCCACTTGCAACAAGTGTTTGTACGGCATACTCGTAATTGTATCGAGTATGAAAAAAGGTTGCACTTGGATGGACTTTCTCCCGAGTGCAATTTCCTCATAGGTGGATTTTGCAATAGTTGCCATGGCAGGTGGATTAGCATCCGCAGTTTTTATAATTTTTAGTTATTATCAACTATTCATATCCTGTTACAGTTTCCCTCTGTCGCCTTTTACGACACCCACGCGACTATATGGGGTAGTGTAGATATTTTTAAACCGCCAGTTCAATTTATGTTTGTAAAATGCCTTCACGTAACAGAAGATATTCGTAATGTGGGTGTTTAAATGAAATAGTTATTTGATTGTTGTTACGTAATATAGGTACGTAGTATTTTACACAAGTAACCAATTACAAACTTTATTAGGTTATAGAGGTACAGGACATTAGTTAATAACTATTTAGTACGTTTCTTTAATAAAAAAATACCTTAAGCAAGCTATGCGTATGTATACTCTAAGGAAAATACTTATATTTAAATTGCATAGAGTTTTTGGCGGGAACTTGACCGTCGTTGTAAGTAAAATTGGTGCGATTTTGTGTTTTAAATGTCTGCGTATGTAAACTATTAGTGGAAACGGTGAAACAAGTGCTCTGATGGTGATGTGATTCTCAAAATAAGGTGTCTGTCTGCTTAGGCGCCTTGAGATACCATCGCCAACTGTCAGCAGTCTGCTGGCTCAAGTTGCCGTCAAAATCTCTCAAGGGCTGCAGAATGTGCCGAATAAACATATTGTGATGCAGTGTACTATGAAGCATAATAATTATACATTGTATCTTCAGGCTCAGAAGGGCTAGAACCCAGAGTCGTAAAGCCAGTTATTAAAAAAATGTATAATCGAACATTAGTTTTCATTATTATCATTAATTGTATAATTTACTAGCTGTTAATTTATTACGATTGGATTTCATGGGCTTTATTTTTTTTTTTGCGCGGTACCCTAAGTCATTTTTAATGAAAATCCTGTCGAAATCGGTCCAGCTATTTTGGAAATTAGCCGTAGTAAACAGACAGAGACAAAATTTATAAAATATTATTTTTTTGTTATAAGTACCGTATATATTTTATGCATTTATTTTTGTAGTATTTTTTTTTTAGATTACAAACAGACTATTTTATTTATTTGTACAGATTAAATTATCACATGGTTCGACTAATGTTTGGTTATTTTGGATAGGTTTGCTCGACTTTTCCACAGCTTTTTTGCCACCAATGCGGCGCCACTTACATTTATGAGGATTAGACAGATTTCATAGCGGGGAAGTTAATTTGTTCGGAAAATGTAGAGGTTAATGTTTCTTTCTTTACTATTAGTTATAATTTATATTCATTAGATTAAAAATAAATAAACCAAACCAAATATTCACAAAAGTAAAAAAAAATTAAAAATGTGCAAAAAATTAAAGAGCAAACCACTGAGGCATTGTTTTGTGTACCTATTAATTTATTATCTCATTCTCTTTCATCTCATAAACTTTTATTTAAAACTAATTTCTCAACTAAATCACATTGTGTAACAAACAAAAAACTTTACCTCATTGTCAACTAGCGACATCTGGTCTGCGCAAGATTATTAGCCCTCATTACTACATCTCGTGAAGAATGTGGGCATGTGAGCCATATAGATTTTTTTGCTTGCAACTCTTACCAATAGATGGCGGTGGTCGTCATGGCAGTGGAGAATGTATTAAATTGAAAATGCATCCCTTAATAAGTTTAAGTTTTAGTGACTTTTTAAAGTTAAACATTTCCTGTATTAAGCTTTAAACAGTTCTTTT